ATGAAAAATATAAAAAAAAAAATATTTTGATATTCTTGAATGATATATTTTTTAGATATTTTAACATTTAAAAAAAATAATAATTTTAGACGTTTATCCAAAAATAATAAATTGAGGTCATAACTGGACAAAAATAACAATTTTATTTTAACCTTGTATCTGTGTTTCCCTACGTGTTGTCTTTACCAGTTTATAGAAGTCGTTATTTCTTCTATTTGTAATAATACAATATATTCACCCGATCAAGGGTTAATTCTTCCCTATTGGGACGAAAATACATCCTTGGTGCCTGTGGTAGAACCCCTGTTCATTCATTCGTATGTTTTCCCCTTTATATTATTGTGTTTCCCCTAGCTTTTTATGTATTATGCCCTGGTCCCCGTTCGGGAGTGTGCATACAAACGGAACCCATTCGTCTCCCGAACGGTGACCACCCCGGTGCTCCCATTAGAACGTTCCCACCAATCAATTAGAATGTTCGCACTTGCAACGTAAGTGTGAAACCGCAACGTTCGCACTGGCAACATAGTGTGAAACCGCAAGGAAAGTAATTTAATGAATGCGCCCATGGGTGGCCGCTATTTCGTATAGACGAACGCCAACCAGGAGGAGCATTCGTACCCCGAAAGGAGACCACTTCCCTTACAGGTTTCAGCACAGGAACCTCGTGAACGAAGACTGGTCGGCGAATGTGCCATTGTGAGGTCACCTGAGGTTGGTGAGGACATTTTTGAGGCACAGGCTAGTTTGGCGGGCTTTTCTGTGCGTGGGAGACAAAGGGACAGTCTCTTTTCCCATGCTTTGGCTCCCAGGCACAGAGGCTCCTGAGATGAAGACCCCCATGTCATCCTGTTTGGGAGACCCCTCGCCTGAGTGGCGGGCTTTCCACATTTGGGAGACAAAGGGACAGCGACCCCCGTTCCCGTGCTTGGGCCACTTGGTGTAGAGGATCCTGGGATACGACCCATGTTTGTGTGTGTGTGTTGAAGACCCCGTGCACGGGGTTATGCATTAAAGCCATGTGGGGCATAATAAAGCTCCCTTCATTGAGTCTCGACTGATGTTTGGGGATGTGATGGCAGAAATAGCAGGATTTACTTATATACTACACTTGGAACTGCGAGCTATAATCACGGAGTATCTAGCATTTCGGGAGGAACCAAACGAACGGGCATTCAAAATAGTGTTACACCTATGTAATAATACAATATATTCACCTGATTGATGGTTAATTCTTCCCTATGTGATAATACAATGTATTCACCTGATCAAGGGGTTAATTCTTCCCTATGTGATAATACAATATATTCACCTGATCGAGGGTTAATTCTTTCCTATGTGATAATACAATATATTCACCTGATTGATGGTTAATTCTTCCCTATGTGATAATACAATGTATTCACCTGATCGAGGGGTTAATTCTTTCCTATGTGATAATACAGTATATTCACCTGATCGAGGGGTTAATTCTTCCCTATGTGATAATACAGTATATTCACCTGATCGAGGGGTTAATTCTTCCCTATGTGATCATACAATGTATTTACCTGATCGAGGGGTTAATTCTTTCCTATGTGATACAATGTATTCACCTGATCGAGGGGTTAATTCTTTCCTATGTGATAATACAATGTATTCACCTGATCGAGGGGTTAATTCTTCCCTATGTGATAATACAGTATATTCACCTGATCGAGGGGTTAATTCTTCCCTATGTGATAATACAATGTATTTACCTGATCAAGGGGTTAATTCTTTCCTATGTGATAATACAATGTATTCACCTGATCGAGGGGTTAATTCTTTCCTATGTGATAATACAATGTATTCACCTGATCGAGGGGTTAATTCTCCCCTATGTGATAATACAGTATATTTACCTGATCGAGGGTTAATTCTTTCCTATGTGATAATACAATGTATTCACCTGATCGAGGGGTTAATTCTCCCCTATGTGATAATACAATGTATTCACGTGATCGAGGGTTGGTTTTTTTTTTGTTTTTTTTTGAGTGCAGTTTGTGGTGCATGAAGTCCCTGGACAGGATCTGGAAGTTGATCTGTTTGATGAAGACCCAGACAAGGACGATTTCCTAGGAAGGTAGGACGGGCGGAATCTGGTCATATCCACTGATAAAACATTATGAGAATGCACATAGCATTATCATTTATAGCGAAAGACTGTCTCTCTCTATTTTTTATTTATTACTGGTATTTATAAAGCGCCAACAGATTCTGCAGCGCTGTATAATTAGTGGAGAATGTACACTATACACAGACAAATAAAAGAGGTACAGAGGGCCCTGCCCATAAGCTGATAACTAGCCATTGAAGCTCTTTTATACAAAGTGCTTAGCTAGATAGCCCATGAGCTTACAATCTAAAGGATACCATGGGGATTTGAGACCAGAGGTAGCAGGGTGAATTTGGAGGTGATGGCTAAAAGAGTTAACAGAGAGAAGCAGCTATTGGTAAAATATAGATGGAATGAAGAGGTAATTGAGTGAGGAGCATGCTATATATTTAGGGGGAACCTGGGTGGGCGGGAGGGAGGAGGAAAAAAAATGCAGAATTCTACGGAGTGTGAGATATGGCCTGAAGGACAGAGATATATCCCTCTGTGGCTGTCTGTGAACCCCATCTCTCTGTGTGGTTACAGGAAGTTCTTGTCTCTTGGTCCCCTTATCCCCAGCATGTCTCTGAGTTGTGTCTGTCCTTCAGCAGTATATGTCAGAACTAGACTTTCACGGCTCCTGTTTCTCTTACAGTCTGGTGATCAGTTTAGAAGACGTGATGAAGGACCGGGTGGTGGATGAGGTAATAATTATATTGTTGTCCTGTATGCTGACAATCTAACAGTATTTGTGTCCTGGCTTTCCCGAGTGTGCAGCTTTCAGGTTAGCCATTGGTAGCCGTTAGTAGCCATTCCTATTACAAGCAAAAACCTCACTGCCAGGGAGAAAGAGTTAACTGTATGGAGGGGAAACCCCAACAATTAGAACATAAATGTTTAAGTACAAAATGCATATTCTATGAAAATTATCTTTTGAATCAATATTGTTTCATTCTCTTTTAATATTTTAACCCTTTGCCCCCTGGCTGCACCTGTAAAATGCCAGGTTTGTCGCAGTGAATTTGGCTGAAACGCCATTGTTTGTTAAATGTCTGAATAAGACATTTTATGAAGGATTTTCATGTAAGAATGACTGATTTTGAAGCAGACGCAGGTTTGCTGGGTGTAAAGACAGAATCCACTTGCATTAGTACGTATTCCATCGTATATTAATTCTAAATACAGCAGAAATTGAAAGTGATAAATTTAAAGTCAAAATGGAAAATTCTCCTTCAGCTGTGCTTTCAGCTCGACTTGTGGAACCTTAAATTGGACTTTTTGTAGGAATTCTCACTTTCGTAAATAACCACATATGTTATTTTAGCCAAAATATGTCATCTTGTACCAAATTTGGCCTTTAGTGAATAACACTATATGTACAGTTTAAATGCCTCCCTGTGGTCAAAGGTGGTACTACAGGCTAAATGAGGGAAAACTGAACTCTTACTTACCTGCTCATTTTAATTTCCTGGCGATTTATCATGGCAGCATCACTTATGGGCTAGCTCCACCCCTAGACTCAATGGGGACAGGAAATAACCAATCAAAAAAGAGACTGAATTTATAAAAGGTCCCTCATCCCTTCACACAGCTGTCGAGATTTCAAGATAAAAAAGGGGGAGTGGGGGGGATTGATGTTGCCATGATAAATAGCCAGGAAATGAAAAATGACCAGGTAAGTATGACTTTAATTTTCCTGATTCTTGGCTAATTATGGCAGCATCAATAATGGATAATATCCAAGCTGAACAAAATGGGAAACAAGACAAGATTAAAGGAAGAAATGACACTAGCTAGGCGCAAAATAAATTCAAATGTTATTGTGCTGAGATAGAGTAAAGAACTCCCTTCCTAAAGGAAGTCGATGCAGAAGAGTGCAGGTCCAGCTTGTAATGATTAATAAAGGTAGAAGAAACGGCCAGATGTCATCTGGAGAAATCTTTGCCCAAAAGTAACCATGGATCTGGTTGAATGAGCCCTAATATTTTCCGGAGGAGGCAGCTTGTTCTGCATCTGAAATGAATCCAGCGTCTTAATGTGGAAGTGGAAATGGCTTCTCCTTTTTCAAACACCTGAGGTCAAGACAAACAGTCTGTTAGATCTCCTGAATTCTGAAGTGGTAGAGAGATATTTAATAATGCACTCGCTAACCTCAAGCTCGTGCAGTTTGATTTCTCCTGGAGAAGGAGATGGACTGAAGGATCTGAGTGGAACTTCTTGATGAAGGTGAATGTTAGAAACAACCTTTGGAAGGAAATCGTTTGTTGGCTTTAGAACTATTCTGTCGAGAAAGTGAGAAGTTTCACTGGAAAGGGCTTCACAGGGCTGAGGACTGGACTTTTAGTGTGCTTTGGCAAAGGCCTTTATCCAGACCTGCCTGCAGGAATTCCAAAATATGGAGGTGTGAAGGATGCTGGAATCAATGGGATTCACTTTCGCCCAATTCTTAAACATGTTTCAAACCCAGTAATCGCAAGAAAAAGGTAGGTTTCCTTGCCTTGATAAGGATGTTTTTTACAGATTCTGACAGGCCATGGTTCAGGAGGGATTTCCTATTAAAAAGCCACACCCCCAAGTTCCAGCTGGAGGGGTTGAGGTGGGTTGCTAGCCCTTCAATTCGGAGATATGTGGACTCTGGTAGTCTCCAAGGAGGGGCTTGAGACATTTTTAGAAGTGGTCTCCTTGGCCAGATGGGAATCGCCTCCATCCAGATTTTCGTGAGGACTCTGGAGATTAGAGGCAGAGTTTATCGAGGCCCCCAGGAATACTGTTTGCTGTAAAGCGGTCAAGGAGCTCTTTTCTTTGTTGATTATTCAACCGTCTTCCTGGAGACACAACTTCAAGTTTCTCTGTTTTTTTTCATCTTTGAAAAAAACACTTTCAGTTAAGAGGCCTCCCAGAAACTTCTTGAAAATCCTCTACATTTAAGAAAGCAGTGTCCCACACCAATCAAGCATTGATTCTTTCTTGAAAGTAGAGGATTTTCAAGAAGTTTCTGGGAGGCCTCTTAACTGAAAGTTTTTTTTTTTGTTTTTTTTAAAGATGAAAAAACAGAGAAACTTGAAGTGTTGATTGTGAATAGGAATCTGATGATAAGCGTCCCTCAGTTCTATCGATGTTAACCAGTCTCCTTGGTTGATGAAGGGAATAATAGTGGAGATGGATTCCATCTTGAAAGACAGATCCATCAGAGAAGTATTTAGTTCCTTTTAGATCTTTTGAGTCTCAATTTCCCTTTGGATTTTGGAGCCAAAAATACATTGTAATTTTAGAACTCTGAATCTTTCTATGGCTCCCAGCCGACAAAGCTTGGTTATGTTTTCTCATACGGCCTGTCCTTTTTTTCTTCCTAAAGGAACAGAAGACTTCTTGGGAATGTCTCAAATTTTATTCTGTATCCTTGCTGTATAATAAACAGGACCCAGGAGTCTGAAATGGTTTTTGGTGCAGACTGGATAGAAGTGCAGGAGTCTTCCTCCTATGAGATCTGGCTGGGTTGACGCACCATCATAAGTGTTGTAGAAGTAAAGATCCCTTTCCTCTATTGGTTTTAGTATTGGAGTAAGAAGATTGAAAGCTTCACCAGGACGAATTCCTAGAGTATTTTTTCCCATGGCCGCATGATCTGCCTTTTTTTACATTGAGGAAGAAACACTTTTTCTTACTGTCCATTGCTTTCTGAATGACTTAATCCAAAACAAGGTCATCCTGGAAAGGCAAGGAGCATAGGGAAGCTTTAGAACTGTAGTTGGGTCCCAATGAATGAAGCCAAAGAGACCTTCTAGAGGCTACAGTTAAGTTTGTGCTCTTGGCAATCATCCATGTTATGTCCAAGGATGCTACCGATCCGATTTCCATGGCGAACTCGAAATCTCTGAGGTTATCGATAGGATGCACTCTTTGAACTCCTCTAGTTATTTCTGTAACGGATCACCTGGCACCCCGACTGGGTACCTCCATTGAAGGATGCTCCTAGCGCTTTCTGAGGGCTCCAAGCACTCCAGCTGACACCATAACCACCGCAGACTCCTTCAGAGAGCAAGACCGGAACAAGCTCTGAAAAGAGCTTAGTAGTGATTAGCTAAGGGAGCATGCAGAGCATAGCAATCCCTTGTAGTGATATAGCAATTCCCCCAATAAAAGACAGGACTCTAGATTGAGGGTGAAGAAGTGTCTAAAACTTTATTTTCCTTGGGACTAGCCCACATGGTCATTACATTAACATTGCTGTGAAAGCTCAATAAAATTACAAACCGTCAAATCATAGCAGGCAACACAAAGTGACTTATTATAACACAATGGCATATTTTTAAAGAGGTTGGGGAGGATTTACAGTCCTTGATAGCAAATGGATAAATCATTGAAGTGTTATTATTTAATGTAAATTTCTTCTCCGGTTTCCCCCATTCTTCATGGATCATTTATTTTAATCGTGTACCTGAAAGGTGGTGGATTTAAGGTCTTCAAAAAATCTGTCAGACTCTGTTTCTGATTTCTCTTTCAGTATCCGGAGAGTGTCTCTGATAAGAAAAAAAAAAAAAATACAGCTTTGAAGTCAAAAGACTTTTCACTATAATCCATCTCCTCCCCGTCCTCCTCTGAAATATCTCCAAGGGATCTAGATCAGATTCTGCTAAGAAAGGAAAGAGTCAACTCTAGGGCATTTTGTAGGCATCGTGTACTTAGTGGGGGAATTGAACCCTTCCGCAATAGCCTGTGTTATCATGATTTTAATTCTTCCTGGGGAGAACATTTATTGTATTCCACTACTTTTGCCATGCAATTAATGGATCATTTTTTTTTTTTCTCTGGCGCAATTTCACTGCAGCCCAAGCAACAGTTGGATTTGTCCTTAAGCTTTCTGGCTGATCTCTCCAGGCTCATACATGGGCTGCAGGACAAGAGGCCATACGTAAGATGATGGGGCCTATCTGAACTCTTTTTATCCCCATGATATAAAAAATATATATTTACTCACCTATGTTTTTTTTATTTTTTTTTAACCCAAGCGGTGAGAGGTCATCTAAAAGAAGATAAAGCAGTAGAAATCAAACTAAACTAATTAATGTCATGCAATTATATATTAAAATTAAATTAAATGTAAGTATGAGAAATGGATAAAAAATACCTTAATTCCTACAGGAAAGGGTACCTGCAGCAACAACCGTAAAATATTCAGAGTTTGAAGCAGAAAAAACCTTTTCAGAGACTTTTCCCTGTGTTTATCTCTTGCCCCATGTCTGACCCTCGCCCTGTGTTTCTCTCGTCCCATGTCTGACCCTCGCCCTGTGTTTATATCTCTCCCCATGTCTGACCTTCGCCCTGTGTTTATATCTCTCCCCATGTCTGACCCTCGCCCTGTGTTTATATCTCTCGTCCCATGTCTGACCTTCGCCCTGTGTTTATCTCTCGTCCCATGTCTGACCCTCGCCCTGTGTTTCTCTCGTCCCATGTCTGACCCTCGCCCTGTGTTTATCTCTCGCCCCATGTCTGACCCTCGCCCTGTGTTTATCTCTTGCCCCATGTCTGACCCTCGCCCTGTGTTTATATCTCGCCCCATGTCTGACCCTCGCCCTGTGTTTATATCTCGCCCCATGTCTAACCCCTCGCCATGTGTTTATATCTCGCCCCATGTCAAACCCTCGCCCTGTGTTTATCTCTCTCCCCATGTCTGACCCTCGCCCTGTGTTTATCTCTCGCCCCATGTCTAACCCCTCGCCATGTGTTTATATCTCGCCCTGTGTTTATCTCTCTCCCCATGTCTGACCCTCGCCCTGTGTTTATCTCTCGCCCCATGTCTAACCCCTCGCCCTATGTTTATCTCTCGCCCCATGTCTGTTCTTTCCTTATAGTGGTTTCCTCTCTGTGACGTTGCCAGTGGCCATGTGCACTTAAAACTTGAGTGGTTTTCCCTACTGGCCTCACATGAGAAGCTGTCTGAGGTGAGTTCTCGATTCTCATTCTGCTCTAAATCCTCTTCTATTCAGGACAACAAATGGTGGGATATATGAACACCCTATATACCTTATAAATCCTTAGCAACTCTTCAATAATCCACTAAACCTATAGTAACACCTAGATAACTTTATGTAATCCATTAATCCTATAGTAACCCCTCTATAACCCTATATAATCCATTAATCCTATAGTAACCCCTCTATAACCCTATATAATCCATTAATCCTATAGTAACCCCTCTATAACCCTATATAATCCGCTAATCCAATAGTGACCCCTCTATAACCCTATATAATCTGCTAATCCTATAGTAACCCCTCTATAACCCTATATAATCCGCTAATCCTATAGTAACCCCTCTATAACCCTATATAATCCGCTAATCCTATAGTAACCCCTCTATAACCCTATATAAACCGCTAATCCTATAGTAACCCCTATATAATCCATTAATCCTATAGTGACCCCTCTATAACCCTATATAATCCGCTAATCCTATAGTGACCCCTCTATAACCCTATATAATCCATTAATCCTATAGTAACCCCTCTATAACCCTATATAATCTACTAATCCTATAGTGACCCCTCTATAACCCTATATAATCCGCTAATCCTATAGTAACCCCCTCTATAACCCTATATAATCCATTAATCCTATAGTAACCCCCTCTATAACCCTATATAATCTGCTAATCCTATAGTAACCCCTCTATAACCCTATATAATCCGCTAATCCTATAGTAACCCCCTCTATAACCCTATATAATCCGCTAATCCTATAGGAACCCCCTCTATAACCCTATATAATCCATTAATCCTATAGTAACCCCTCTATAACCCTATATAATCCGCTAATCCTATAGTAACCCCTCTATAACCCTATATAATCCGCTAATCCTATAGGAACCCCTCTATAACCCTATATAATCCCTTAATCCTATAGTAACCCCTCTATAACCCTATATAATCCGCTAATCCTATAGTAACCCCCTCTATAACCCTATATAATCCGCTAATCCTATAGGAACCCCCTCTATAACCCTATATAATCCATTAATCCTATAGTAACCCCTCTATAACCCTATATAATCCGCTAATCCTATAGTAACCCCTATATAATCCGCTAATCCTATAGGAACCCCTCTATAACCCTATATAATCCCTTAATCCTATAGTAACCCCCTCTATAACCCTATATAATCCATTAATCCTATAGTAACCCCCTCTATAACCCTATATAATCCGCTAATCCTATAGGAACCCCCTCTATAACCCTATATAATCCGCTAATCCTATAGGAACCCCCTCTATAACCCTATATAATCCATTAATCCTATAGTAACCCCTCTATAACCCCATATAATCCTCTAATCCTAAAGTAACCGGCTCTATAACCCTATATAATCCGCTAATCCTATAGTGACCCCTCTATAACCCTATATAATCCGCTAATCCTATAGGAACCCCTCTATAACCCTATATAATCCATTAATTCTATAGTAACCCCTCTATAACCCTATATAATCCATTAATCCTATAGTGACCCCTCTATAACCCTATATAATCTGCTAATCCTATAGTAACCCCCTCTATAACCCTATATAATCCATTAATCCTATAGTAACCCCCTCTATAACCCTATATAATCTGCTAATCCTATAGTGACCCCTATATAATCCATTAATCCTATAGTGACCCCTCTATAACCCTATATAATCCGCTAATCCTATAGGAACCCCTCTATAACCCTATATAATCCATTAATTCTATAGTAACCCCTCTTTAACCCTATATAATCCATTAATCCTATAGTGACCCCTCTATAACCCTATATAATCTGCTAATCCTATAGTAACCCCCTCTATAACCCTATATAATCCATTAATCCTATAGTAACCCCCTCTATAACCCTATATAATCTGCTAATCCTATAGTGACCCCTATATAATCCATTAATCCTATAGTAACCCCTCTATAACCCTATATAATTCGCTAATCCTATAGTAACCCCTCTATAACCCTATATAATCCGCTAATCCTATAGTAACCCCT